TCCTTTATATATACTGTTTAGTAAAATGGATTATTTACATTTTGAGATTAAGGTGGCTAATACTCCTACATCGTATTGACAGAAAAAACAGCAATAACTCTTATTATATTGTCTTCCCACATTTTTTTTTTAAATCGAAAGGTTTTTTTGTTGGGTCAGCCTTTCAATCAATAGTTCAGGGAAATATTGTTGGGGTGGATGGGGTTATACACCCCGACCCACTCCCACAATTACCCAACCCGGCCCATATTATAAACTCCCTAATATTATGTTCACCTGAGTGAAAGTCGGTAGCAAGTAAAATGCCTTTCCAAAATTAAATATATCAATTAAGAATTTCTCGATCTATAGTTTAAGATCAATGTAGAGAAAATAAATCCTTATATATTCACCTAGAATATAAATATATAACTTAGTATATTTTCTACGATAAATGGTATGAGTTTTTCGCATACTATGTTGGCATATTTCTGCTCCCTGAATGCAAGATAAATTATCTTAACATGCAACATAATTATGTACATGTAGACATGAAGCATGTATTTTTGTCAACATGCAAGTTAATAATGTTGACATGCAAGTTACCAATCTTTTCAGAAAATATAATTTAAATATTGGTAAATTTACTTACTAAATTACTAATGCCTGTATCTGTATCGGACATCGTGGATGCCAGATGCAAGATAATTATGAAGACATGAGATTTATGTCAACATGCAAGATAAATGTAGATAAGCAACTTATTTAAGTCAACATACAAGATAATTATGTTAACATGCAAGATATGTATGTTGATATGCAACGTTTTATCTTGCATGTTGACATAAATATCTTGTATGTAAAAATAAAACTACCATGTTGACATAAATAAGTTGCATATTGACATAAATAAGTAACGTGTTACCATAATTATCTTGCATGTTAACAAAAATAAGTTGCTCGTCTACATAATTAACTATCACGTTAACATCAACATCTGGCATGTTGACATTAATGAGTCGCATGTTAACATTAATAAGACGCGTGTCTACATATTCATATTGCGTCTAACTTGCACCTAAGATGTCAGATTCGGGCATCGTAGCGGAAGCGTAAAGGGCTCTACTATTGCAAGCCCCTTTTGCTATTTATTCGTAAAATAAAATTTAGCTTAAAATTACAGAGATATCTCTCATTTTAGATAGACATCTCTTAAAAATAGAGATATCTCTGAACTTAAAGAGATATCTCTCATTTTTAAGAGATATCTCTATGAGAAAGAGAAATCTCTTAAACTTAGATATCTTTTATACTTAGATAGATATCTCTTTTTATAACTGAGATATCTCCTCTACTTGAACAGATATCTCTTTCTCCCTGAGAGATATCTCTTTCGTGTGAAGAGATATCTCTTTTGTGAGAAGAGATATCTCTTTTGTAAGAAGAGATAGCCCTTTCGTGAGAAGAGATATCTCTGAATATTCAAGAGATATCTCTTTCACTTTCCCCTCTTGACTTTGTGACTAAGCTTATACAGATTGGTTTAAATCACATATTATTTTAGATTAGTTTAAGCACGAAGTTAGATCTGATGTGTTGATAGTTATTTTTTGTCCCCACCCTCACCTGCTTTCACTGAAAGTGGGGGATATCAATCTGGGTCTGTCTGTCCGTCCGTATTTCTAACTGCCTGTAACGCTTTCTTTCCGTGCGATATCTGAAAAACCCTTTGAGCAATTTCACAATGAAATTTTGCATAGCAACTACCTATGACCTAAACAAGAACCGTATTGATTTTGAAGTCAGGTCAAAAGGTCAAGGTCATAAATCAATAAATTCTGTCTGTTTTAAAACTTTCGTTTTCCTGCGATATCTCAAAAATTCTTTGAAGTTTGCAATGAAATTTTACATAGAAACTTTGAGTGCCCTAAGAAAGATCTCCGATGATTTTAAGGTCAAATGGTCAGATATTCCGTCTGTGTGTATTTATGTTATTAAATATCTCTTTGCACTATTTTTAGCACAGGTGCATGTATAGAGTTATTTCGTATAATAGTATTATACGAAATAAAGCTCTACATGTAATACAGGTTGTTGGTGGACTTTTTATCCTTATTACATTTATTAGAACTGTTTAGTAAAGGCTAGTATAGACACAATGTATTGTGTAAACTTTTGACAAAATCGAACATGTATATATTTATGTATGTGACCTAATACTTGCATACAATTCAAGAAACAAAAAAGCGACACCGTGGTGTAGGGTTACGACTATCGCTTTACATGTGAGAGGTCCCGGGTTCGAATCCCATAAGATTCTTCTTTTTTAATACTTTTTTAACTTAATTGTATTCAGCATGTGTAATGAAAAAGTTATGACTTGTGGCTTGTACAAACTCATAAAATCATCATTACAGTGTGGTGCATAAGTTTTCATATAATATACACTTATTTATTGACTACGAGGTAAACAGTCAAACTATTGGCCCGAGGTAGTGGAGAAAATCTGGGAAACTGTTGCCCGAGGCCGAAGGCCGGGGGTAACAGTTTCCCAGGTCTTCTCCACTACCTCTGGACAATTGTTTGACTGTTTCACCGAGTAGTCATTAAATAAGTGTTTTATTACCTAAACTACTATATAATAACTAAATTGGAATAAAAACACACAAACAATCAATAAAGAGTTTGATCAACTGTTTATCCACATACCAGTCTATCAATTAGCTGAACAAAGAATGTAAATATCAAATTAATATTAAATAATTTTAATTAATACTTAAAAAATTGATTGTGTGTTTTATTCCAATTTAGTTAATTATATAGCAGGTAAATAATGATGTCGTGATCATCAAAACGCTTGAATATCACGATGACGCTTTAAACAGGCAACAGTTCACTCTGTGGCCCGGTCAAAAGTTCGACTGTTTCATGATCACATGATCATAAAATGAATCGTGAAACAGTTCAAAATGCCTAATTACATTTTATGTAGTAGGTTCGGTAATACTGAATCCTAAGTGAAGTGTTTTCATTAAAATTCCCGCCCCGCGAATTCAAAAACACTATTTTCTTACTTCTTTCTCGCAAATATTCATATATATATATATATATATATATATATATATATATATATATATATATATATATATATATATATATATATATATATATATATTATGCTAGTAAAATTATTTTAAGCTAAGTTTCATCTATTAAATGTTAAATTGTAATTCCCCACTTTGTGCCTCATTATCTGTAAACCCGTGGGGACCTCCCGGTAATTTTATCCTTTTGAGATTAGAGAACTAGCATCATTATATCTCCTGCTATTGTAAAGACAAGAAGTCCAAACATTTGCTGAAATATTTTTTGGATTACCCACCTCTCTCCCCAAACAGACTTTAACTGTACATTAGCCCACCTCCAATTCATATGTCTATATGTTTTCATTGAAATTAAATTCCTTTTTATATGTATATAATATTATGTGTTCATATCCTATTTAGGCCAAATAATGGAATTTTGAGCCAATTCATATGTATAAGGCCATATTTTGGAGGCCACCTATTTTGCAAAATTATGTATGTAATGTAATAGTTACATACTGGGAGACCAACTGTGATAGTTGTTGTTTAATAATTTTTCTCAGGAATTGTGTTTTAAGGTTACATTGTCTCTGAGTCGTTTTTATTTCAGATTTATGAATTATTTTATATGTTGTCATTTCATAATAAATGACATATTTTTGGAACAAACATGTCTTATGTTATTTGGCAAAAGACAAGCTCAATGTTGTCAGACGAGTGTTTAATTCAAGGAATCAAAGCTGAACTATATATATATATATATATATATATATATATATATATATATATATATATATATATATATATATATATATATATATATATATATATATATATATATATACTTTTTCATACCAGCAATACTATATTGATATGATTATACCCCCGCATGAAAAGCGGGAAGTTATATAGTAATTGGAATATCCGCCCGTCCATCCGTCTGTACTTCCAGTTCTCCGTCCCTTCGTCTGTCCGTCTGTTAAGCTTTGGGGTACCCATCTCTTATCCGCAACTCCTCTACTACCACTGAATGAAATTTGACGAAACCTTCAGAGAATCTTTATGAAATATTGCCATTGTGCACTTCCTTTCTTTTGGATTCGACACATATTTTGGGTTTCTCATAACAAAACATGGACCTTGCCATTATATTCATATTGGAGGCGGGGGATGGGGGGGGGGGGCATTAAGTGAGCTCATTGCTCACAGTATCCCTAGTTTGATATCTTATTTTGATCGATATCTAAAAATCAATAAAACATTACAGTTGATAAAAGCTAAAAAAATAAAATCTATTGAACAAAAGAAGTTTCCTTTAATTACATAAAAATATCTTAATATAATTCAAACTAGAGGAACTGTGAGCAATGAGCTCACTAAATGATACCCTCCGCCTCCCATATGAATATAATGGCATTGTCCATATTTTGCTGTGGGAAACCCAAAATATGTGACGGATGAAAAAGTAAAATATGGGGTACACAATGGCAATATGCAATAAAGATTCTATGAAAGTTTCATCAAATTTCATTCAGTGGTATGAGAGGAGTTGCGGATAAGAGATGGGTATCCCAAAGCTTAACAGACGGAGGGACCTCTAGATATAAATATGTGCATGAATAAGGAGTTATTACACCTTATATGTTGATAAGACAATAAAATATAAGACCATATACAACATTTTAACACAAGTTTTATACATATTTAAATCAGATTCTTTTAAGAGTTGTAACTTGCATGTCAACATAATTATCTTGCAAGTATATATAATTGTCTTGCATGTTAAAACAATTTATCTTGCATGAAGGGGGCAGAAATATGCCACCATAAGAAAGTAAGAATTTTCTATCAATTTACATTTCAGCCATTCGAGCGCTCAGTGCAACAGTCGTTGAACTACGTGTAAATATTTTGATAGATTATTGTACAATCGACATGACTTGGAAACCACCGAAAAGATTTGCAAAATGCATGCTGTCTCATTATCGAGTAATAATATACGAAAACGAAACAGAAGTGATAAAAACGGAAACAACCGCCTTGAAGTATTCTTACTTCGGTTTTAAGTCAACCAGCCAGTATCAGATTGGAGTAACTCCAGCCTTTCTTTGTGAAGGCAATGGCAGCATTACAGTATATGGAAAAGCGTGGGAGGAAAATGTATCTGGAATTCCAAGTACGTTTCAAATATGAAATCTAGGAGCTAATTAAAGTTTTTCTTTTTATACCCCCGCTTGAAAAGCTGGAGGGTATATAGTAATCGGTATGTCCGTCCGTCTATTACGTTTTGGGGTACACATCTCTTATCCACAACTCCTCTCATACAACTGAATGGTATTTAATGAAACTTACACAGAATATCTATTACACATTGTCATTGTACAAATCCTATTTAACTTTTCGATCCGACAAATATTTTGAGTTTCCCATAGCACAACATGGACATTGCCATAATATTCATATGAGAGGCGTGGGTATCATTTAGTGAGCTCATCAAGAAAATTATAACGAAAATCTCGTGCGACTGAGGCAAGAATTGTCGATAAGCTGGATACATTATCCTGCTGAATACAATATACGAGATCGGTTATTGTAGATTTTACAGGACATGTTAAGAAGAATTAGCAGTCCTAAAAATATTTTGCTTAAACGTTCGGTCGTGTACAATGCTGATAAAATTATTAGTTCTCTTGTGTTATAATTTTTGGCGTCACGCAAAAAAAAAAAGCTTCAAAAGCTCCAACTCAATGTTATTAGTAAGATTTGGACCTTTTTTGGCACTTAGATATTTTCCACTAGGCTGATGTTTCTGATAATGTATTCCACAATTCTTTCTGATAATCGGTACTGTGGAATCAGCATTGTTCGTTGGAGACCAATATTCGTGGATTTCCTGGGTGCCCTTAACCACAAATTTATATCCCCATGAAAATTTATTTTCTAAACATATTCAGAGTAGAGCAGAGCAGAGTTCCCAAATGAGTAAAGAAGAATCATTTACAACTTCTTGACAATAAATTATTTCTCAACTGTATGTTTAGGTCACCTGAGAAAACTCGGTTGACCTGTTGCTATCTGTTTTCATCCGTCGTTCCGCGTTAACATTTGAAAATTATAAGCTTCTCTGCAACCGCTCAACCAATTTTGGCATAAAACATCTATGAGTGAAGGGGAAAAATTATATAAGAATTTCATGGTTCCTGTCCCCCTTGAGGGGTGGGGTCAAAACAATTACAATAAATGCAATCTTAAAAAAAAATTCTTCTTTACTATACTGGACATCAAGAAGTCACACTGTTGGCATGATTGTAAACAGCATTGAGTTTTCTACTCAAATTCTAGAAATTCATGGCCCCAGGATCCTTGTGCTAGGGCGGGGCTAAATAAATTATTGAAAATGCATTATTTCTTGGAAAATCTTCTTCTCTGCGGATAGGCAATAAACTAACCAAGTACACAGTTATATTGAATAAGGCTGCCTCTTCCAAAATTGTGAATTTCCTGGTCCCAGTGTCAGGGGTTTTAGTGTAAGTATATAGTTATGTTGAATAAGGCTGTCTCTTCCAAAATTGTTGATTTCATGGCCCCTGGGTAGGGGGCTCTGGTGTTAGGGCAGGATTCTATTGATCATATAGTGAAAATGCATAAATTCTTTAAAAATAAAATCTTCTTCTCTGCTTCTATGTGGTTAACAAACTAACAATTTAAGTACACATTTATTATGAGCAAGAACGTCTCTTCCAAAATTATGAATTTCATGGCCCCTGGGTCTGGAGTTCTGGTGTAAGGGTGGGGCTCTATTGATTACATAGGGAAAATACTTTAATTCTTTAAAAATCTTCTATGCTCATGGGTATTAGACAAACTAACTAGATACTTAGTTATAATGAGCAAGAATGCCTCTTCCAAAATTGTGAATTATATGGGCCCTGGGTTTGGGTTGCTGGTGTAAAGGGGCACTATTGATTATACAGTAAAATTCGTTTAGTGCGAACACGGATATTGCAAATTTACGGATATAGCGAATATATCTTGGATCCCCAGCTATATGAATTTAACGGATTTCTTATACGGATATATCGAAATGCGGATATAGTATAAATATGATATTGTTATAATATAATAACTAAAATATAAAAAAGGAAGGATATGTCAATCAAAAGGGGCCAGAGATTTCTAGTTTCAATAATTCCCAGTAAAAATAAGTTTCTGAACACATTTTAATTATATTTCCGTGTGAAATCTATAGCAACATATAACATACAGAATATATAATTTTTTTTTCAAATCTGCGTTCAGGCTGCCGCTCCTTTAAATACGGTTGTCTCTTTCCCTTATAAATGAAATAAATGTCGTATATTAGAACACAAACGTTTGACTGTATTCAATGTTTCTATGTTGGTGTATCAATGATTATCTATTACTTTTTTTGTCGCAGATATTTCGAACTCATACCTTGAGGCGTCTGAAAACGAAAAGATTACAGTTGCATGTCCATTCCTTAGTAGATCCAACTATCACATTTCTAAAGTAATACAATGGGAGCACAGATTGGGAATAAATAAAATACAGATAAGAAAGTTTACTTCAAGAGAAATTAATCTTTTTTATCTGTCATACATGGATATGGGAGAATATTACTGTACTGTAAACTACAAATCGTGCGGGAGTATATCTGGAACGGTTGTGTCTGAAAGGAGCATTGTTTTTGTAGCTGTAAAAGGTAAGATATTTTTGCTTTCCATGATTTAATTTAAAATAATCCTTATACGATAAAGTTGGTCCTGATATAAAGACGGATTTGCTTCCGTCTAGTCATTATCTTTTGAACCACAAGAAAAGAAATTAGATATATCTGCAAATAATGACTTGGTCTTGAAAGTAAACATATGTAGATAGTCAAGTACAAAATCAGAAATTTCGACAATTAGTATTTTTTTTTTAATTAGAAAATAATTATTCATACTAAATATTAACATAAGGATTCCGTAAACTGTCTTTTTTAAAGTCATTTAATCGACTATAATTCCGGAGCGGAAGTGATGTCATCAAAGCGGAAAAAAGGATAAGTTCAAGACATGTAACATAAATATTGAAAAAAAATTAAGCCCTTCAAGAGAAATGACTCGCACAAATTCGATAAGAAAAAAGGAATTAAAATAACTGTAGAACAAAGCAGCTTTACAAGTATATTAATTCTTCTCAAGAAATAATGGCAAGGTCAACCAAACTATTCAGAAAGAAAAACCGGGTTCAAGTTTAATCAAATTTATGGTCATTGTCTCTTTTAAGAAACGTAGTTTAGAATTAAAGTAAATTGTAACAGAAAAGTCGAAACTTTAGTGAAAGCTATTATAACGTGTAGATTTTTCAGTTTTATTCAAGTCATGTCTTGGGAAGGGGTCGGTGAGGCTACAATAGGTAATCATTTTTTTTTAATAGAACATTCAAGAATTTTTTTTTTTTTCAATTTTTTCTCAAAATTTTCTCAAGAACTACCAGGGCAGAAGAGATTATACATGTCAAAGCTTCAGTTCATAAAATACGTTTAATCTTGTAGACGCTGACACGAAAAAGACGCTAACATTTCTCAAGAGTGTCAAACAGGTTTAAAAAACTTTATAACGTTACCCTACACCGGCGAGTGATGACCTCTTCACTACATCTTCATCGTCCACGTTGGCCCACAGATCGGAACAAATTTAGGACCACAACAGTATCTTTTATTAATTTGTTATTACAAATTAGACATTTTTTTGTAATAGCAAATTAGTAATTTCTTAAACCTAGTATTTTATACGTCAAAGTTATTGGTCAATAATAAGTTATAAAAGCTATACTAAGAGATTTGTTGATACGTGTAATTAGATAACAAAAATTTCTAATTTGTACCATGAACAGATGCGCATACACACGCGCGTCGCTCTGATTGGCTGACAATAAAAATCTTGATATCTTTCTTGTTTACTGACAGCATCCTTTGATATTTAAGATACAAGTATATACCATAAGGTTCTAAATTCCTGAAAGCACGTGCATGCTGGAATTTGATTGGCTGAAACTTTAAATGGGTATAACGTCAATCGTTCTCAACAAAATAACTAAAAGATGAAATTTTGAATATAGATAGATATAATAGGTTCCTACAATACGCTACTATCAAAATAGAATGCAAGGACGTACTTTCACGTGTGTTGAAATCTGATTGCCTAAACTAATTTTACGTACCGGCCAAATTCTCATTTGATAGGTCTTGTAATTGTTAACATTATTCGTTCAATACATTTAATAAATATTTTCAGACGGTATTCGGCAATAACGGTGGAATACTTAAATAACAGTAAAATACAAAAGCCCTTAATTGAAAAAAAAACCATGATACATAGATACTCCGTTGAAAAGAGATTGATTGATTGATTGTATATTGTTTAACGTCCCTCTCGAGAATTTTTCACTCATATGGAGACGTCACCGTATGCCGGTGAAGGGCTTCAAATTTTGACCTTTACTCGGCACTCAGGGCCATTGAGCAGTGAGGGATATTTATCGTGCCAACGCCTGCCGCTCACACGGGGCCTCATCCGAAGGACCCGCAACTTTCACTTCAAAGTGCCGAGCGCATGGCGAAGGAACAGTTGCTACCCATTTTATCGACTGGGTCAGTCGCGGCCGAGATACGAACTCACGACCTCCCGATCACGGAGCGAGCGCTCTACCGACTGAGCTACCATGAACGGTCCGTTGAAAAGGGAATATCTAGATCTAATAATGATAAATAGAGCAAATACAACATGTTCCTAAACTTCGTTCAACCATTAAATGCAGAACAAAAAGACCCCAAACCCGGTCCAAATTGCTGTCATCCTATCGTGTTCAAAATAAACTTATCTAAATTTAACAAAAAACCCTTTGATCTTTTTAACTCACCTGAGCCGAAGGCGAAATTTGTACGTTGTCTGTCGTTGTTGTTGTCGTCGTTGTAAACTTTTCACCTTCTCAAGAACCACAGAGCCAATTTTAACCAAACTTGCCACAAGGTATTCTTGGGTCAAGGGGATTTAAGTTTGTACATGTACAAATGAAGGGCTATGCCCTACTCCGAATGTAGATATTTACGAAATAGTGAAAAAAATAAACGGCATCATTGAAAAATCTTCTCAAGATCCATTGGGACAGGAAAGCTGAAACTCATGTAAAATAATATTGCCAGGCAGTGTAGATTCAAGTTTGTTCAAATCATGACTCCTAGGTGTATAGTAGTGCCACAATGAACGAAATTTTTACATAAAAATATATAGGAAGAATTTTCAAAAATCTTCTCAAGAGCAGCAAAGCAATGATTGGTCATATTTTTATGGAAGCATCCTTAGGTGGTGTAGATTCAATTTTGTTTAAATCAATACCCCCGGGGTAGGGCAGGGTCTCAATGAACGATTCAAAGTTAACATAGGAGTTATAGAAAAAAATCTTTAAAAATTCTTCTTCTTAAGAACAGCAAAGCTATGATTGGACATAGTTATATGGAAGCATCTATAGGTGGTGTAGATTCAATTTTTTTTAAAATCATGACCCCCAGGTAGGGTTGGGCTAGAATCATGGACGATCAAAGTTTTACATAGAAGTATATAGCAAAAATCTAAAAAAAATCTTCTCAAGAACAGCAAAGCTTTGATTGATCATTTACAGAGGAGTATATAGGAAAAATGTTTTGAAAATCTTCTTCTCAAGAACAGCAAACCTATGATAATATTCATATGGAAACATCCTCATGTGGTGTAAATACAAGTTTGTTCAAATCATGACACCTTGGGGTAGGATGAGACCACAATGGGCGATCAAAGTCCAAAGTCCGATCAAAGTTTAATACATTAAAAATCTTTAAAAATCTTCTTCCCAAGAAACAAAGCCATGGTTGGCAATAGTTATATAGAAGCACCCTCGATCAGGTGGTGTAGATTCAAGTTTGTTCCCTCTCCCTTTTAGGGGTACATGTAGGTTGGGATCACGAGCGTTTAAGCTTTGGAATGCTAAACTGACTTTTGCTATTTTTTTAGCCAGTGCTCAGGTGAGCGATGTAGCCCTTGGGCCTCATGTTATCAATTCTACGTAAAAGATGCAATTTGAATTGAAACAATCTTATCCCCATAATCCAAATTATGTTTTATAATCATAATATAAAATAAAAAAAATAGTTCTTTAAGAAATTATTAATAGGTCAAATTTATTGACAATTATTCGGTTTATCAGACATTTTTAAAACAAATAACACAGTTTGTATTGTTTTATGATTTTAAATATGAAAAAAAAAATTATAAAGTTACCTTCACATACACATTTTTACATTCAGGACCACCGATAATCGCTTCGCTTTCAGAGAAAGAAAGAATTAGTCGTAAACTTTCCTTGAATGTGATAAGTTTACCATCGCCAGACAGCAATGTTAGCATCACGAACAGTAAAGGGACTGAATTATCCACATCATCTGCAAGAATAAGACCGGGATTGGTGAATTATACAGCGTACGGAATCAATGTTCAAATAAAGGGATACAAAATGGATATTGTGATCGAACATGCAGAAATTGAATGGTTTGGAGAAATCATTGTAATTGTTTCAAACAAGCTGGGATCTGGGAAATACAGATTAATGGTTAAAAAAAGTCATGGTTAGTATAACAGTTATTTAATAGTTCAACTGCGCATGCCTTTTATTTATTTCTTTCAACATGCACACCAATCATTTAAATGTTAATCTTTGTTTTTTCAGAGAGCTTTTTTGATGAAAGTGAAGTACTACCGCTAGGCACTGTGAGTGGTTTGATCATCGTCTCTGTTGCCATCATTCTCATTTGTTTTATCAAGAAAAGTAAGTGTTCTATACAACATATATGTCTAAATATATCCAAAATAAATTTAGAACTAGAGTACTGTGAGCACTGAGCACACCAAATGATACCCCCTTCCCCCGCCTCCCTCATGATTATAATTGCAAACTCCATGTTTTGCTCTGGGAGACAAGAAATACGTGTCCGATCAAAAAGCAAATTAGGAGGTGCACAATAGCAGTAAGTAATTAAGAACCTGTGATTACAAAATTGTATTTAGTGGTAAAGGAGGAGTTGCGGATAAGAGAAGGGTACCCTTCAATCAGTATTATAGAAAGAATTGCAGTATCCATGTTTTGCTATGGGAAACCAAACATATGTGTCGGATCAAAAAGCAAAAAGTAACATAAGAAGCGCAGAATAGCATTATGTAACAAAGATTTCATGGAAATCTCATTAAATTCCATTCAGTGGTATAAGAGGAGTTGAGGATAAGAGATGGGTACCCCAAAGCGTAACAGTCGGACGGAAGGACGGACGGACAGACGGACGGACATCACGATTACTGTATACCCTCCAGCTTTTCAAGCGGGGGCATGATGATCGAAGTAAAAAGGAGAAACTAAAGTACCGAGTAAATATAAAAATCATGTATAAGCCTGGATACATATAATTTTCATTCTCAAAATGTATTTGTTGATCAACTTTTAATATAAAAATATGCAGTAGGTAGTTTTATTTGCATTTCCTGAAAAATGTGACATTTTGACATTTACTAATTTTCCCTTTATAATTTGATAAACTTTGAAGAAGAAGTCAAAGTCAAAGTGAAAAATTAGTCAAAGTAACGATTATTTACTCTTAGTGTTTCTTGCACAGAAACACTATGGGTAAATAATTGTTACTTTAAGAATTTAATGACTTCATTGTTAGCATTTTCAATTACTCAATGTCTGATTTTCAGAACCTGAGAATCGGACTACCTTAACGCACTTAAAAAGCTTTGAAAAAAAATCAAAGTGCGTAAATTTGGTATAAAATTTAATGCACTTTGATTCCTTTTTTTAAAGTGCGTTGATTTTGTCTAAATTTTATGTACTTTTATTTTTAAAGTGCATAATTATTTCAAAGTGCGTTGCCACACAGCAGTCATAGAATTGAAATCTATAAAACATAAACAATAGAATTTTTTATAGGTCACAGAATAAACGACGTAGAGTGGCTCTCTTGTATCATATCATTTTTTGTGGTTTCCTTATAAACTAGAAATTGATCATAAAGAATTTTGTTGTTTAACGTTCCTTTTGGACCGTGGAGAGCTGCAAATTTTGTCCTATACTTGGCACTTCAGACCACTGAGCAGTAAAAAATCTTTTTAGTGCCAGCATCTACTGCGACACAGGACCTCGGTTTAAACGGTCTCATCCGACGGACCTGTCTCTACGTCCCACAGTGGGATTCGAACCCGCGACATAAGGAATATCAACTCCTTACTTCACGACTCTAGAGCAGACGCTATAATCACTGCGCCACCCGGGTGACTGGTCATAAAGTTAAAGTATCTTTAACTGACCTAGAATTATTGAAATTCGAATTCATTACTCAAGCAAGAATGTTTATGTGTAGTGCTATTTGTAGGAACAGAGCACAGTTTCTGTTTGTCTAAAGAAAAGTGAGTATCACCTGTACATTACTTACACTAATTTGTCTAACTTACTAGTATGTCAATTTAATGACCAAATACTTCAGTTTTTTTTGCATGTCTAAATTCTTTAAAAAGAACTGTTTTGTTTCATGGAAGACAACAACACATACCTATCCAGTTAGCAGATCAACTGTATTCCAGACATCGTTCTCTCAATCAGAATATTGTGCAACTCGGTAAGTAAAATGTCTGTAAAAATTCTAAATTGGGTATGAAAATCATTATAGATTATTATATGTAATCTTATTATATGAAAACTATGTATATTCTCATTTAAAAGGGGATAGTCATGGAGCTCATCAAAGAGGATCCAACCTCTAACCAGTTATGCTGTGCCTTACAGAACAACAAATTTGGGGATAAACGTAATAAAAGTGATAAAGCACTTTTTTAGAGAGCTTAAAATACAGTAAATGACAAACATTCAATATTTAAATTTGCTGTTATTTTTTACTAAGTCAAATATGAAATTGATTTGAATGTTATATATTTGTGTATATTCAAATTGAAACGGAGAAACTCGCACTGAAGTGACGTCAAAATGAGCTACAGAGACGTTGATGAAAGTGCAACTTTACAGGACAGCGAGACATTCAAATATTGAATATATATATAGTTTTAGCCCTTTTAAACGCTAGCGCTATGTACTGCGCTTAGTGATTTATACACCAACAACTCACATTAAAGTTAAACACATTCCTTAAATATTTCACTTCAAGCTTTTAGAGGTCCGTATACTCTGCTCCTGGGTATTAAACAAACTAACTACATACGATGAGGAAGAGTGCATCTTCTAAATTTGTGAATTTCATGGTCCATGGCTCAGATGCCCTAATGTTATGGCAGGGCTCTACTGATAATATAGCGAAAATGCATTAATTCTTTGAATATACTTTAATTTCTCTGCTCCTTTGTATTAATTAAGCAAACTAACTACATACAAATTATGCAGATTTATGATGAAGAAGGGTGTCTCTTCTTAAATTTTATATCGCATGATCCAAGGGTCAGGGGTTCTAGTGTTAGGGCGATCTTCCACTGATTATATAGTGAAATTGCATTAATTCTATGAAAAACTTCTCTGCTCCTGGGTACATGTATAAACAAACTAGGTACATACATAGTTACATGTATGATGAGGATGGTGAATCAAATGGCTTCAAGGTCAAGGATTCTGGTGGGTCTATATAAATTACATAGACGTCGCGCACGGTGTTGGTTTCAAAAAATAAAAAATTACTATTCCGTTGGTATTTGTATCTTGTTTTTATGAGGTGCCGTATTTACTGGCAAAAAGTGATATCACCTATTTGAATAGGTGATATAACTTATTCGAATAGGTGATATCACTTATTCATTTTTAATAGGTGATATCACCTATTCAAAAAGGTGATATCACTAATTCGAATAGGTGATATCACCTATTGGAAATGAGTAGGTGATATCATCTATTCGAATAAGTGATATCACCTATTCGTACTGAATAGGTGATATCACAGGCTTTTGGATCACTTGAAAAAAAAATTGTGTGTAAAAAAAAATAAATATAATATACAGATTTCCACTGGAACCAAGAAAATTGCGCTAATAAAGTATTTTTTATTCACATGCTCTAAAATTCTACTTTCTATTTAAATTTATTCATAGATAAACATTCTTCATTTCTACCAAAGCTCATGTCCGAAATTAGCATTTTTCTAGAGATATTCTGAAATCAATCTAAAAAACACCTACTTTCTTTTACTCATAACTTTTGATTTACAAGAGCTAAGCCATTCACATTAAACACATGTTTGAAGTGCAGCGAAGAGTTGCATAGTATTTGGACTTTTTAAAGTTGATTTGTTATTTCGGATTGTAAGGTTAAGTCCGTATTAATTCCTTTCGCGAAAAATTAACTTGAAAACGTCTGCATCAACAACTACACCACCATGTTGATTATGAGTGTAAAAGAAGCTATGGTCAAACGATTTTTTCCCGGAATGCATTATACCTTTCGATTTTCAAAACAATTAGACCGCTAAAATGTTGTTTGTGACTTAGTAAGATCATATGATCAAATTAGAGAAAATCCATTTAAAGCATGAATGCATATGAGCAAATATTTATTGAGTTTAGAATAAACTCCGGGGAAAATTTGTTCCGTCGTTCCCTCTCAAAAGTTAGTGTAGCCCTTCGAAGGCCCAAGCTGATGTCGAGTAAAAAAATTAAGGTCAATTTTGGAATTGATTTCAAAATTTCTCGAGAAGTATTAGGAATTACGGAATGAAATTTGGTAGAAATGAAGATTGTTTATATATCAATAGATATGGATAAAAAGTAAAATTGTAAAGCATTTGATTTAAAAGAAATTGGCATATTTCAAATATCAATTATTTTTTTTTCAAAACATCATTTTTTTTTCTAAGCGATCTAAAGGCCTGTGGGTGATATCACCTATTTGAATTTCTTACAACATTAAAAAAGAATGCGTCCTATAATATACGGATTACCACTGGAACCAAGAAAATTCGGAATTCCAAGTTTTCATGCTTCATATATGTAATCCTTGAGGGAAGGCTCAATTGAATATCAATCACATTTTGTCCCTCTGACCTTGACCTTGGAGTTTGTCCTATTTTTTCCGAAAAAAACATTACCCTTCCCCATAACTTTTGATTTACGACTTTCATATTTCACATGTTTATTCCTTGTGACAAGACCTTTATTTGGGTACCAAGAACCTTGACCCTTTGACCTTGACCTTGGAGATTGACCCACGTTTACACAAAAATTCCAAATTTTTACTTTGGCACTAATTTTTAAATGCTAGATACTAAAAAATTCATATTTCAAATATCAATTCTTTTTGGCGAAACCTTTCATTTGCAATAAAGAATTTTGACCTTGACCTTGGAAATTTCTGTACTTATGAAAAAAACTTTAACCTTGGCTATAACTTTGAACGGTAAGAGCTACGGCTTTCAAACTTAAAATATGTGTGGGAAGACCTTTTATTGAATTTCAACAACTTTGACCCTTTGACCCTGACCATGGAGTTTGACATATTTTTTTTACAAACTTTAACCTTGGCCATAACTTTTGAACAGTAGGGGCTTGAGCTTTCATATTTCACATATGTAATCCTTGTGACAAGACCTTTCAATGGATATCAACAACCTTGACCTTTTTTACCTTGGAGTGTGACTTACTTTTTACAAACTTTTATCTTGGCCATAACTTTTAAACAGTAAGGGCTAGCGCTTTCATGCTTCCCATATATAATCTTTGAGACAAGGACTTTCTTTAGAAACCAACAACCTTGACCCTTTGACCTTGTCCTACCTTTAAAAATGTAAACCTTGGTCATAACCCTTGAACAGGCAGAGCTAGGGTTTTATATTTCACATTTGTATTTCTTGTGAAAAGGCTTTATTGTAGGTACCAATATATTTGATCTGCATTTGAGAAAGCTTAACCTTCGCTATGTTGCCATACGGATCAGTGTTTCACAAACACATCTTGTTTCAAAGTGCGTTAACTAGGACCCAAATTTAACACACATTAAAAAAATGTGCTTAATTTTTCAAGGTGCGTTGTAACACAAGTGATAGTCAAAGATTTCTCCATAAATAAGTTGGTCATATCGTGTCTGAGTTTAGTTGAAAGTTGATCGAAAGGATATCGTATGATTTTTTCAACACAAATATACGTGTAATGTGAAAACTAAAGCAACAAAATGGAAATTAAATATTTTTCAGGCGAAAACCAATATAGCGATTTTCACATTGATTAAAAAAGGGACTGGGTGGTTGTGGCCATTTTTAGACTATTTTGATCTCCTTTAGAAAAGGAACTACATATAAAATATTATAAAATGATCAAATTTTAAAACAAAAATTTATGAAATTTTTCTTTGCCAAATGATAGTTGACAGCTGAAGATATCACATCCCACAATTTCCGTTATATCTGGTGGTTAATAAAAAAATAATTTGTTGACCCCCTAGCCTCCTTAAATCAGAAAGTATGGAAGAACATGCTTTTAAAAATCTTTTATTCAATTTTTTTATGGTACATGTACCTGTACACGTTGGATATTCAACAGCCCATTTAAAATAAAAGATTTCACTTTTAATATGACAACTAACAACAAATATATATGATAGTTACTAGTTACAAGTCATTGCTTTTCTTTTCGAACGATATTTGCCGGAAATTGATTTTTGAATGAGTTAGCGTAGATTTGGGGGGGGCAAGACATTTAGCGTTGTACTTGAAATTAGCAGAAGTTCCTTTCCGCCAAAAGCGCTAAAAAGTATACACAGCCAAATGTAATACGTTTACAGTATCAGAAACTAACGACCTACACAAAGACAATTTTAGAAAAATCTCCTCGACTTCAACTTCCATGATGTTTTCTCAGTCCCTTGTTTCCAGCATCTATTAGCACATTTACACACCACATTATATCTACCGATTTTCCCGATCACATGCTAAAGGTGACTGACTCCGGTCCACAGAGGATGTTAACTGCTTAAGGGCACCTGATCTCTGATGTTTTAGAGGTCAGAATTTGCTCTGCTCTTGAATTATATTGTTTTGATAGACTTTCGTGCTTGATTACTGTTCCTTATCTCCAGGTTTCATTCTTTATATAATGTGCGCAGTACGGATTGAAAAAGAGACAATATGTATTGATACTGTAAACCAACTTTTATTGGCGTGCGAGAAATTTTCGCGAGTTTCGCAAGAGACTCATCATTAGGAATATTACTCGCCGCGAACCATTCCTTAAAGTCTTCGTTTCATATTAACAACAGATTCAAAAAAGCCTTCATCGCTAAAATTAATCGTCGCAAATTAGTTTACCCCCTCTTAATCGCGAAATAAAGTCGCCGAGAATAAAAGTTGGTTTTAAGCAATATTAAATTTTACAATAATGAAACACGGATTTTCTTATGCACATTATACATGTACGTATAACATCAGTCAAAGTTATATATACATGCAGGTAGATATATAGACAAAGTGTAAAACTTTTTTCAAGAACAGATTGAGATTTTTTTTCAACATAACGTATGTAATTTTTATAAATTAGATGAAGATCGTCACGTTTATTACTTGTTGTTTAATTCGAATTCAAAATATTAATTAAACAAAAATGCAAAAATTTCACAGTCGGATCACCTCGGCCGATTCCATCTAGATGTAGGGGACGGGAATCTGCCGAGGTGAACCGAATGGCTGTTTCAATCATGAAAAGGAGTTTCTAGTGCATTATTAAAGTTAATTAAATATTAAGGTCAATTTTGGATCAATATCCTGTAGGAATAATTTTGTCATCTTCATAAAACAATAGGGAAATCAGCATATTTTGAAGAAATATTTCTGTTTTGTTTATACCACTAAGTGTTGTCACATATTGTATTACACTTTGTTCAATGGATTAAAAAAACTGTTAGTCGTCTGACCGGTATAGTAAAAATTTGTGTTTTTCCCATTTTCAGCCTATAACAGTTTGTAAGCTTGAGATAATATGATACAGATACTTATATTCTAGATCTCCTTCCACATAGTTTCAATACTTCTCTCTTGAAGTTTGCATAGAAATACTTCACTCACTGAGTTGGTCAAAATGACTTTAGAAGTTTTTAGGTCATGTCAGCCTCTCTGTTTAAAATCTTTTTTCCCCCTTAATTCCAGTAAATTTATCTAAATGAGGATACAAGATAACATCGATATATATATCTGTAAATTTGCAATATCCGTGAAGTAGTACTAAATTACTTTTACTGTAGTACACAAATGTTACTCTTCAAAACTAGAGCAAAGCTCGTTGGAAAGCAACGAGTAGGTCTTCCGTCAAGTTTTGACCAGAAGTGACGTCAGCAAAAGAAAACAATGAGCTGAATCGTCTCCAGTCTCTTTATTATTTCAATTTTGCATCAAAACCTTAAAAATAAGCTATTTTTGGCTACTTCCAGTTTGACCGGAAGTGATGTCGACGGACGGAAAATTATTTTTTTTCTTCCAGTGACATATGTTACCCAAAACTTGTCAAGAACGACAAAAATGTGCATTTTCTGACAACTTCCGGTTTGACCGGAAGTGACGTCACCGGACGCATTTTAACGACTTCAATACATTAAGCTTGACATTTTGAACAACTTTGCTACTTGGACGTATAACAAATTCTCAATACTTTTTGAGATATTTGGAAAAAACTTTTGGCCCCTCTAGATCCCTTAATTTAGGGGTCAGCCCTTTTTTTGAGATATCATTTGAAAGATCTTCTAATTCTGCACAAATTTTGTTCTATATGTTTTAACAAAATATTTTTAGTTTAGAAGATAAAAAGCAAAAATTGTGTAAATTTTCGCTCTTTTAGGTGTTCTAATTTTTGACCCCTATATAGCGCCATTTTGAATTGAGAAATCGAAAAACAAAAACCGCTATGCACAACTTCAATCCTTCTATTGTGTAAAATCAGTAAAATTTCTGCTCCAGCTTTTGCCATCTCCGAGCCTTTGTCTGGAAATGAAAGCCTATAAATTTTTGTTTAAAGGGAAATAACTCAAAACCGGAAGTGAATTTTTGAAATGCTAGAAAAAAGTCTGATAGAGTTTAGTAACGTCTATAAACTCTGAAAATATGAGCAAAATCCATTGAGAAATGAGTGAAATATGAGGCCTCAAAGTTGGCGTCTAGGAAAAGGAAAAAAAAAGAATAATAAGAACTAGAGCCGAGCTCGTTGCAAAGCAACGAGTAGGTCTTCCGTCCTGTTTGACCGGAAGTAAGTTTCATTTTAAAAAAAGAGTAATGAAGTTTAAAAATGGTTTAATCCTCCAAAGCTATGTTCATTTTTGCAAAATCAAGCCATTTTTGGCAACTTCCGGTTTGACCGGAAGTACTGTCAACAGACGGAAAATTAAGATTTAGGCTTCCAGTGACATATGATATCCAAAAACCTGTCAAGAACAACTAAAATATGCAATTTTTGACTACTTCCGGTTTGACGTCTCAGGACGTATTTTGACAACCTCATTAGATAAAGCTTGACATTTTGAACAACTTTGCTTATTTGACGTATTATGAATTCTTAATACTTTTTGAGATATTAAACAAAAACTTTCAAGGGCCCTAGATCCCTAATTTTAGGGGCCAGCCCCTTTTTAATGATATCAAATGAAAGCGCTTGTAATTATGTACAACTTTTATTCAACATGTTTTAACAAAATATTTTTATTTCTCAAGATAAAAAGGAAAATATCTGTAAATTTTCGCTCTTTTAGGCGTTCTAATTTTTGACCCCTATATAGCGCCATTTTGAATGCAGAAATCGAAAAACAAAAACCGATGTGCACAACTTTAATCCTTCTGTTATCTAAAACAATTAAAATTTCTGCTCCAGCTTATGTGGTCTCTGAGCCTTTATCCGGAAACGAAAGCCTATGATTTTTCGTTTAAAGGGGAATAACTCAAAACCAGAAGTGACTTTTTGAAATTTTAGTCATCATTCTGAGTTTTTAGAGTAATTATAAACGTCTATAACCTCTGAAAATTTGAGCGAAATCCGTTTCAGAAATAACAAGGTTTATAGCACAAGGGGCAATAACTTTTAAAAGGGTCAATCTCAGGGGACAAGAATGTAATCTTCGAAAGAGTTTCAAGAGTACATATTAAAGTCAGTAGATAGATAGTGTATGTTTAAGGACAAAAAAAAAGAAATTTATAATAATCTTTACCTTGAAAGAATCAGAGGTAGAAGGTTTCTTCCGACTTCTCGTTTTGAAAATTTTTAATTATTTATAAAATTTATAAACGGCAGACCATTGAATAATCAATGAAAAGATTGAAAATCATCAGAAGACATTGGTGAAGGTCTTCCGTTTTGGAAACAAGCTTTACGGTGAAAGGGTCAAAACTATTAATAAATATTTTTTTTATTAAATCCTACGTGAATTTTTTTACGCATGGAAATAAAATAAAAAGAAACAGAAAAAATCTGTGGCATTAAGAAGGTCTTCGTTGGAAACGGAAGACCTTAATAATAATCATCAGAATCAGTAGAAGGTCTTCCCAACTACACATGGAAACAGGCAAAAAAGGGAAACACCTACACATGGAACGTACTTTTTCTTTCGGGATTTATAATTTCAAAGATAAAGATGTTATAATTCGACTAATTTCTCTTCTTAAACTGGTTATTTTACCTTAACTTCGTCACCTGCATGTCTCGGAAAAAAGCGACACGCACTAGTTTGAATTGTAAATAAATAGAAAGTTTCACTTGACCTCTGAACAATATTGTTACAATGTTGTCTTACTTGTTTTGAAAAAAAAGTTATATAATTCCATAATACTTCAAACGCGGGTCTATTTATTATCTTAATTTTGATGGAAAAATGTACGTTAATTCATGTATTGAAATTATCAATTGTAATCGTATAATTGTAATTATTAAATGAAATTCTCCCTTTTGAAGGAATAATTGATAAATAATTAATATACAGGCATGATTTTTATTATCATTTATTTAATTATTTGAAAGATTGTTAATAGTTATGACATATTTTCATGAATTAAAAAAGAACGCATTGATTGCTTCTTTATCATGTTAGCATATGCGGTAGGTATCAAAAGCCTGAATGTTAATTCGATGGTTGGTACAATCTCCAGACATGGTACACAAGATATACACAACGGCAGGTAACTAGTTGTCAATCAAATCAAAGTATCCAATCCCAGGTTTAATTTTAGGTGATTGACAGGGGTTCTTAGACCAGGTAAATTTGAAGGAGGTGCTTATTTCCTCCCCTTTAACGTTAAGAGATATCTCTCCAGGAGAAAGAGGAATCTGTTTAAGTGGAAGAGATATCGCTCTAATTATAAGAAATCTCTCTAAGTTTAAAAGATATCTCTTTCTCATAGAGATATCTCTTAAACTTGGGAGATATCACTTTAAGTTGGGAGATATCTCTATTTTTTAAGAGACATCTTTCTTAAATGAGAGATATTTCTGTAATTTTAAGCTGAATTTTATTTTCCAGATAAATAGCAAAAGGGTTTGCAATGATTTAATACAATAAACAAATATAAAATGTTAGAAAACCCATTGAAATGTATTGATTCATGTAAAAGAATATATTTTTTAAAGCTTTAGGAAAATATGGAAAATTGAAGAACCTCTTTTTTATATTTCTAATTTAAATAAACAAAGAACGATAACAATTTCTCGACATTTATTATAAATTTATAAGCACAACTATAGAAAACACATGATAATTACCCCTAATTTTAAATTAAAATGAATAGTGATTCAGTCGCGAATTTGATCGCAAAAATACCGCAAAGTTTTAGATCTTCGCGTAAACTCTACAATACAGTAAATTTTTTAATTATGCAAAACCCTAAAATGTATTTTCTGCTTTAAATCATTTTAAAGCTTTGAGGGGGAAACTACCTAAAAAAAACTATCGCTTATGAAAATTTGATGACAGAACAAATCTAACTAAAAATATTTGCTTCGTACCAAAAAACGGCAAAGAAGACTTCCTCAGATTTATCTGAAACATACGAAGGTTGTGAAATTTTGTGTTTTTCTAACAAATCTGACCTATTTTGGTAGAGTATTAGCATTGGTTGTGGTATATATCGGAAGCAGGGACCGTTTTCACAATGGGTGTTCGCAAAAGTCGAGGAAAAGAGGCTATTACAAATGTTACCTTCTGGTAATCAGTTCCTGGGCTAATCAAGGTATCGCCATTCCCCCTCTCGTAAATAGAGTTGAAATGTTTAAACACTATCAATTCATCTCAGTCGAATGATTTTCAGTCATCTTTGAACTGTATACTTATATTTACATAATAGTATATTTCTTATATCATAGGATGGATTCAAGTTCACATTTCAGAAAATTCGTCCAGGGTACTCCAGTGTGAAGTGATTAGCTCTGGACACTTTAGTGTACAAATATATCAGACGTTTTACTTTTAAATAAATATTTTTACAACAATGAAATGTTTGTTTGTTTTTACATTATTTTTTCCATTTTTTAGTATATTTTTACTTTCTGTTTCGTACATAAAAATAAGCCTCTTTAACACGCACAAATGCACCCTCTCATACACATTCGTGAATCCAATAAATTGAGACAAAAATCCACATGTTGATAATATTATTTTCCATTCCCTCTTGAGTGAGAATTTTTCACTCGTATGGAGACGCCACCACTTGCCCAGGACTGAAATATCTGGCCTATACTTGGCACTTACGGGCATTGAGCAGAAAGGAATCTTTTGCTTGCCTACTGCAACACGGGACCTTTGTTTTATAGGTTCCATCCGAAGTCTCGTAGTGGATTCGAACCCAAATGCAAAAAATAGATCTGTCAATAACCATTTAATGAAAAACAGCTTATTTTCAAAAATTTTCAAAATTTTATCCACTTGATAATTTGAAAAAAAAAATTCTTTAATTCAATTTCAATTCTTTGGTTTTTCTGGACAACATGTAGCGTTACAGTTTTTTCAAACAAAAGAATCAATTTTCCTCTATTCAAGTTTATTTACATTTGTTCGTTACGCCACATCATTCTTCAATTTGCGCTTGCAATTGTGAAATCTTTTTCTCCACCAGTTTCTTGTTAAAAAAGCAAAATAAAGTTAAGGTTTGGATTTGACATTCTCGGAAACGAAATACAAACAGGAATGGATTGACCATACTGTTTATAAAAAATCCGATGTTTCCAAAATGCCTGTATTGTCCTACTCTTTCAAACGCTTTTCCCTCAAGGATGAGAAGAAGAATATTTAAGAGTACGTGTGGTGCATAGCAGACGATAAAAACTATTACGAAAACCATTAGTTTCACTGTTCGTTGGACGATCTCCTTCTTTGGTTTTTCACCGGATTCCATAGAAATACTTTCTGGTATAATTTGTTTTGAATTTTTCCGAAGAACAAAATAAATGTACGCATATAAAATAATATTCCAAAATAACAAGAAACTCAAAATAAAAGTTTGTATCTTAAGAGCAGTCGTTTTGGATACGATCGGTTTCAAACATTCCACAGCCCATCCCTTGTCAACTAAATGTGTAAACCCAAACAGAAAGCTTACCATCCACAATGATATGCAAATGATTCGGTAAAATCGCCGACTTGTAAAACTCTGAAATCGCATGGGAAACAGCAACGAAACGCCAAAAGTCGTGGAAATTGCACTGATGGTTAAAAATGACATGGCCACTGTACTCATGAGTGTAGCCATGTGAATCCTACAAAGATCTGTGTAACTGTCTGTCGGTACAACAACAAGAACCCCCACCAAAAAATCAGTACATGCCAAAGAGATGGACAAAGTACGGATCTGATAATGTAGATTCCTCGAACGGATCAAGATGACGAGGGCTAACACATTTTCTAAAGTCACAATACAACTGATAATCCGGAGAATTATTAAAGACGGTCTCTTGTACAAAACTTCTGAGGTGAAAGTTTCATTAGTGAATGTGGTATTCTCCATTTCAATAGTTTTCTAGGATGGCAATATCAGCATCAATGGAGACATTACATTAAATCGGATTAATTCAACTCCATAAGTATTTAATAAATCTGTAACGTTATGGGGATAACAACAAGCTAAATAACATCTAGGTAAGCAGCTTGTTCTCTATATACCATTGATTTCTACCTGACCTTCTTAGCTGATCCTTTACCTGAACAGGCTAAAATGTAATTCAGAAAAATTCAATCGGTTCGTAGATTTGTCATTTATCTTTACAATTCTTCAAAATGAACAAAACATATTTTTTTCACTAGCTGACTTGAAATATCCCTAGAAACTGAATTGTATGGAATGAACGCACATGAAATGAGAAACTGCTAAAAGGATTTTTCAGATCAGCAAAAGTGTGTCAAAAATCTCTATGAACAATATTAAATTAAATATTTATCTGAAATTATACACTGTTTAACAATTTATTGCATTTTTTAAGCAAATTTTTCAGCTAAATACTAACTACTAAATATATTTCAGACTTCTTTCTGAGCGTGCTTTTTTGAGTCCTGGATGTTTTTAAACCTATAACATACATGGTTGTTTAAGATTACCATTTGTGTATTTTTTTGCAATCATATTGTTATAAAGTATTTATTTTATACCTGTGTAATAAGGGACCAAGCAAAATTTATCACAATGATGGAGACGGTACAAACAGGCATGGGACAATGAGTTTTTTCATCGAAGAAAACCAAAAATATTTTTAGAATTCAGTGCCGTTGGGACACAATTTTTTACAGTACTTAACCCAAGACAAAGAATTATTATAATAATCTTAAGGTTCATAAAACCTTTGCTCACTCATATGAAAATTTTCTTTAAATTTTATGATTTTCCACAGGAAATGTATATGCTGAATAAAATACAAACAATTATAGCATGGCTTGCGGGGCAAAGTTTGACAAAAAAGGCACTTAAACTTGACAAATTTATAAAGGAATAATAGTCATTAAGAGTAATCTTTCTTATGAGAGTATCAATGTACCTTAAAAGATATACATGAATTATTTTTGTTAAAAAAGTCTTTTTAAAAAGTCATATATTTTAAACTTAAACACAGGATACAAATGGCAACACGAATCATCAAATTAATGGAAAATATTACAGAGTAACAAGCATTGCTAACAAGTGTTATGAAAAATGATCAAACGAAAAACTTTTATTCCAATAATCCCACAAACACCAAGATTTAACCATGAAACAGTAACTTTTTTATATGTCTTTAGGCATGGGATAAATATATTATTTTAAATACGAATGCCATATGACACATACCTTTTTTGTTTCTTGACGATGATCAATCGAATGGCTTGCGTAATAATTTTATGGAAATTATCTCGCAATCCCATCATTTGATCACATCGTGAAACCAAAAAAATAGACAGTTATTCCAGATAAAGCTTAACATACTTTTGACCCCCTAAAATACAGGCCTAAAAGTAATTATTAATAGGTATTTATAAATATGGCGAGCCCTTTGCCTATTTTTGTGAAAAAATTCTTTCAATAAGAGAGATATCTATTTAGCATAGAGATATTCATGTAGCTTATAGAGATATCTGTTTGACTAACACAGATATCTTTATACTTTAGAGCGATATCTCTTTAACAAAAGAGATTATCTCTTTTTGTAAGAGAGATATTTCTTTTACTAGAGAAATATTTTTATAAGCTAGATAGATATCTCTATAAGCGAGAGAGATGTCAATTAAAGTTAGAGAAATCATTCTTCAACAAGGTTAAAAGAGATTTTTAGATAGTCAGAAAGAGATTTCTTTCTAAGCTAAAGAGATATCCCTTTTAACGAACAAAATATCTATTTTCCAATGATATTCAAAATAAATTCCCCCTTTTCAAACGAAAGCAAAACAGGCAGTAAAGTCTCTGGAAGAATTTAAATTCGCTGTTATGTTTAAAAGGACTGAGTATGTCATACCCAAATTAAAATATGTAGACAAAAAAGCCACAAATCCCTTGTTTGACAACAAATAGTAATGGCAACTTCGTTAATAAAGATGCTCAAAGTTTTAAAAGTCAGGAGAACGAAAATAAGCATAAAATATCCAAATGCAATGGACGGAAATTTCTCAGCTTATGAAAAAATCAACTATTACTAATTTTAAAACTTAGACAATACTGAATTTCTTGTCATCTGAAGTAAAACTACAAAATAGAATAAGGGTAGAGGTACTGTGAGCAATGAGCTCACAAAATGATACCCCGGCTCCCATATAATATATAATGGGAGTGTCCATGTTTTGTTTCGGGAAACCCAAAATATGTGTCAGATCAAAAAGTAAAATAAAAGATACACAATGGCAATATGAAATAAAGATTCTTTGAAAGTTTCGCCAAATTCAGTGGTATGAGAGAAGTTGCAGATAAAAGATTGGTACCCAAAAGCGTAACACACAGACGGACGGACATATCGATTACTATATACCATCCCGCTTTTCAAGCCGGGGAGGGGGGGTTATAATGAATATGTCGAATTTTCAAAATATTTAAATGTACTTCTGTGAAAGCGTACTCCCTAATATTTCCCTAAGTAAAAGAGATATCTCACTAGGTAAAAGAAATGTCTCTTTAACGTTCAGAGATGTCTCTCCAGCAGAGAGATATCTCTCAAGAAGAAAGAGGAATCTGTTTAAGAAGAGATATCGCTCTAAGTATAAGATATCTCTCTAAGTTTAAAAGATATCTTTTTCTCATAGAGATATCTCTTAAAATTTGGAGATATCACTTAAAGTTGGGAGATATCTCTATCTTTGAGAGATATCTTTCTTAAATGAGAGATATCTCTGTAATTTTAAGATAAATTTTATTTTCCAAATAAATAGCAAAAGGGTTTGCCATGATTTAATACAAAAAACAAAAACAAATTGGTAGAAAACCCATTGAAATGTATTGATGCATGTAAAAGAATGCCATTTCTAAAGCTTTTGTTCCAATTTAAAAACAAGAACGATATCCATTTATCGACATTTAACGAAATTTATTAGCACAACTATAAAAACACATGATAATTGCCCACGATTTTTTTTTGAAACATCGAGTTCGATGCCATCTTACAAAAAGTGAGAGATCGGACATAGACGGAAAGAATTTGCACATTTTTTTTTTTTTTTTTAAATCGGTAATCAAAACTAATTTATTTTATATTATTTAACCCTTTCTCTTCCGGCGCATTTTACGTGATTTTGGAGGCCTTTTGACATGGCATTATTAAATTATTTCTAACTTTTTTATCCAAGGGGAAACCTAGGCATAATGCATACCATTTTGTAGGAAATTCCTTACAGATGATATTTTATGACTGTTTAGATACTTAACCACTGACCTTATTAGTAAAAATTGAGGTCAAAGGTCAATTAAGTGCAAAATTGAATGGGATTTTTTGATACTTTTTCATCTTTAAGCTAAATATTAAGTATGATGCTTGTTGAAATAGGAAATTT